TTTTTTTTTTTTTGTTTTTTTTTTCCCCTTAGTGAAGACAATTGGTACATAAGATGTCGTTAAGCCAGTGGCGACACTCCTTTATAAATTTAAACATTTTAATTTTTTCCTCAGCATAGACAATTGGTCCATCCGATGTCATAAAGCCAATGGAGAGATTTTTCACAAATTCAAACATTTCATTACTTTTTTCCTCGATACAGACAATTCATACATCCGATCTCGTAGAGCCAAATGGCGACATTCCTTTACAAATTCAAACATTTCATCAGCCACTATTTTAACTACAAGTATTTGATAATTTTAAAGTTCTTATCTTTGAAGTATTCCCTCAGGATTCAGTGATCCAAGCTTGTCCTTGCCCAGATTGTTGACTTCACTCTGCACTACACCAAGTTAGTTTTCCTGAAAACAGAAATGATAATACAATGAAAACTCCGTAAATCATCATACAGAGGGTTTTGAGGTTTCGCGCTCCTGTCAACCAAATCCGCGACTACGTTTGGAAAGCTGAAGTTTAAATTTTGCGTGCTCAAACATAAATACCGCAATATGGCCGGCTACTGACTCAAGGAAAGGAGAACTTGAAAGCTTTGGCGAAATGATATTGCAAATTCGAGATGACGCGACGTTCAAAGCGAACAGCAGAGTCACGCGCGAGTCATTAGGACGTTCGTTCGACTTTCAGATCAAATTTTAAGTAACATTTTTCAAAAGCAATGTTTACCTTTGGTTTTAGAACAGCATGAATATGTTTTCCATGGCTTTGTCCCCATTGACTCAAGTATCTTCTTCTTTCAAGGGCACCAAATCACCTTACGGGACGACACTTCTTCACACAACATCGAACAACTTAGTTTGTGGAAAACGCTACCATGTGGCATGAATTGGCATGAATATGGATTAGAAATACAAGCTAATCACTGACAAAACGTCACAGCTTGGTGGCAAATTTTAAGTTCGCACGCTTTTCAACCAATCAATCACAAAACGGGAGAAATGAATACCATCGTATGAACCCACAAACTTTTTATTGTGTACAGCTATTTTTGCACTTGCAAACTTGACGCGTGAATTTAAAAACAAGATATACGGCAAAAGGGATTGTGGTAAAATTAAAAGACTGACAACGGAAAAAAATATGGATTGCAAGAAGTTAGACTTCTATAGTTTTTAAATCAAATATATTAATCTATTTAAATATTGTTTTTTTGTGACGTACAGTGACATCAAACAGCTGTGCATTTTTCCACAACCATAAATATCTCGTCCGAGTTTGAATCTATTCTTTGGTTTTTCGACTTAACAAACGGGAGTAGCAAAATGACTGCAGCGCTGACAACAATTACAGTTCCCGTCATGTAAAATGTCGGAACGTAGGAACCAGACTCATCCGCTAGGAGACCTGTATGGAGAAGAGAAAAAGAAATATAAAGTTACAGTCAACTTTCGCCTTGCAGACACCCCGCTATTACGGACACTCCGCTGTTGCGGACACTTCACTATTACGGACACCCCGCTATTACGGACATCCCGCTGTTACGGACACCCCGCTATTACGGACAACCCGCTATTACGGACAGGCGAAACAGAAATGCTAGAAACAACTTCCCATTATTGCGGATTCCCGCTCTTACGGAATAGACCATTTCCGAGTTACCTTGTACCTCTGTTTCAAAACGAGTCTTCGTTTAAAACCTTTGATATGAAAATGAGGTTAATTTTTATGAAAATGAACATGTAAGCGGAACACATTTTCATATGAATGGTTTCGGATGAAAACTTAGTTTAAAATAGAGGCAAAGGTAACTCCGCCGGAGGTGACCTATTGTGGAGACTTAATGTTGTCCCAAACTAACATTTTTTTTGTTCTTCTCTCGTTACAACGGACAACTTGAACGTATTGAATGACACAATTATTCTGCAGTCTTTAAGTACACTATTTTGTACACTTCAAATTAAAAGAAACTGGAAATCTTAAAAGAGTATAGCAGTACGCGACACTTCACAATCACAAAATGGGTCATTTTCATCAGACCCTGCTGTTGCGAACTCTTCCTATTACGGACACCAAATGAGGGTCCCGAGGGTGTCCGTTTTAATGAAAATTGACTATTCTATAATTCTTGATCGTGGGCTCAAATGTTGCTGTATTTTCTTGTTTACTTACCTCCAAGTGCGGGGCCAGCGGCAGCCACAACACAGGTGATGGTAAAGCTAACACTCAGCCCAATATTCCTCTGCTTGCTCGTAAAACAAGCGATAATGGCGACACACACGGAGCAGCCATTTGTTCCATCGGCAAATCCCCAAACAACAAAGTACAAAACAAAGTGAGGATATGTCCTGGCTAGCGGTAACAGTAACGTTGCGACTCCATTGATGAACGCTGCCAGCTGATAAACATAACACGCGTCAATCCATTGAACGTCACACAGTCTACCAATCACAGGACGGAATAACAATGACGTCAATCCACTGTAAAGGTAGAGTCTGGAAGCTTGGGTTTGTGACATTCCTAAGTCTTCGCAGTAGCGACCCTATAAAAGGGAAGAGGAGTCAAACATATGGCTTGAGTTCCCGTGCGTTCCTTGTAGTGTGTAGCTCTACATGGTCCCTCGTCCCGCGGGATGCAGTAATACGTTTTCTCGTCCTTACTCTGTGCTATTCCCATCTATTCGCCCGTTACCCTGTACATTCCCCGTATATTAAACGTTCCCCGTGTGTTCCCTAGAATCTTAAACCCAACTTTAACCCAGATCCCCGCCCTAAGAATACCTTTCAACCTAATCCGAGCCCTAACTCTAAACTTGGGTGCAAATCTAAAGTTGTCCGACACGAAACATTATCCAACACTAAACCTTGCCAACAGTTAAGCCTGAATCGGCAACTATTGTTAGACTGACAACCAGCCTCGCGCATTCCTCGTAGGGACCACCCTACGTTTCCCACGCATTCTCTGTGGGTCAGTCCCTTCCGTTTACTTGTCAGTTACACTATTCCTTCCGCCATAGGATCCCGGTGGTCGGGTTTGCCCGTGCATCCCCCGTTTATTCATCGTGGGTTTCTCCACACGTTTACTCATCCACGCGTTCCCGGTACATTCTCTTGCGCGAACCCCCTGTGTTTCCAGTTAGTTTCCCATACGTTTTTTTTAAATTCAGTGGCGGATCCAGGGGGAGGGTCGGGGGGTCCGGACCCTCCTTCCCTGACCGATTTTTTTTACTACTTGTTTGACGCTGAAATTCTTGCATCGATAGGATCGCCTATTATTACTCATGACAACTGGCTGGTTTATTTCTTGATGAAAAGCCATCGTATTTTGCCACTAATCCATCTAAATTCCAGGCCAAGTAATTTGCCCAAATAAAGTTTCTGTAGTGTTTTCTGAGTCGAAGTTTGGACCCCCCTATCAAAAATGCCTGGATCCGCCCTTGTTTATATTTGTTCGTCAGTCGCTTGAAAACTTTGAAATGTTACTAAATTGTGTTAAATGTTCTTTTTCACAGATTTCATAGAAACGAACATTGAAAAAAAGAATAGAAAATAAGATTTTTTCATGCGACCTTCAGAAGAAGCCAATAACGGAAGGGCGAATAAGCAATAAAAGCTTGTTTCCATATGATCGATATCATCGCTAAAAACGCTGCAAATAGCTCGAACCCTTGATAACTCGAACCTTCCGCTAACTCGAAGTAATTTTCAGTTCCTTTCAGGAAATTTTCTATATAATTTTACCCTCAATAGCTCGAATTTCCGATAACTCGAACCTTTTTCTATTTCCCCTGAAGGTTCGAGTTATCAGGAGTCTACTGTATATGATCGCTGTGATCGATGAACATGTTCTTTGCGATCGTAGCGGTCATATGGAAACCAGCTTTAAGAAAAAAATCGCGCAGTTTAACAAGAAACAAAATGTCAATTAAAAGAGGTTGAAAAGAAAAAAGTTCAAACAAAAAAGCTGGAAATCAAATAATTAACTTATGTTAATTCTTAGATTTAATTCAGAGCCAATACTCTGACTGTATTTAGCTTGTCGCACAATATTGCTGCGTTGTTTAACATCACATTGTAATGAAGGTACTTTTGCCAAATAATATCATTGACATAATTGATTCGATTCTTTTAAGCACGGCCAACTATCGCAAAGAAGACGTCATTATAAAGTGCACATTAAAATCGCTCCCCACTGTTGTCTTCTATTGTGTTTTATTGTATTTATTGAATACGGTCAAATTGAGTTGACCTCTGGGTGTCCATATTAATTGGTTCTCCGTAAATCGGAATGTTACGTCTCAAAGGTCATTTGCCGGCCTTTACTGATTAACTTATAAACAGCACAAATTGTTACATAATTCATTTTGGCAGTTACTGCTGGATTTTCGGCCAACGTTTTTCTTATTAAGAAACTGACTAGCTATCCATCTTTGAAAAGTTCCCCCTCCAACTACAAACAAACGCTCCCCAGACACCAGAATATTCATTTCCACGATAGCTACGGCGCCTCGATCACGAAGATCATAAGCTGAAGGCTGAAATATAATCGGTTTTAGAGGAGCTAAAATTCTGATCAGCGAGTTGGAATTTTGTCGCGCTTGCCTTGCACGTCTTGACGAACTTCCATACTCTGCAAAGTCGCTGGCAAGAAAAACAGGTACGGGAGCGGTACTAAAATTCTTGTGCCTTTGAACACGCGCTGTTAAATTTGATATACACTCCTTTACCGCAGCCATATCTCTGATAGTTCTTCCCAATTTTAGAATCCTCTCTACGCGAATGTGTATGGAGAAAAATAGCGGACCGAGATTTTTTGTGATGAAATCTCGCGCAACATGAAGAAGTTTTGAACTGAAGAAAATGGCGGCTTGATGAGAATGCATAGGGTTGGTTACAACTGATGACAGATCAAACTGTGCTCGATAAGAGTACTTGTTATTATTTCCTCTCCATTGATCGAAGCCAACACATGGAAGTCTCTCTATAACTTCATTCTCGAATTTCTCAACAGAGTCTACCGCAAACACATTCATGCAAATTAGTCTTTCAACTTTCAAACCCGAAAATGTGTTCCTGTGATTTTTGTTGCAAGGAAAATATGCCCGGCGTGTGTTTTGATTGTATCTGGCAGTTTTATGTAAGTTTGTGTAGTCCAAATGTACCAGCACGTCTAGTTTGCCTTGGCAAACATCTTGAAACTCTTTCCAGCTTATTAGCGTGCCGTGGCCGCGCGAACGAAGCGTGCGATTGAGCGCTGACACGTTATAATACAGTTCCAGCGTTTCGACTCCCTTCTTCGTCGATGACCCAAGAAAGAACGAGTCTTTTACAAATGGTACGACAACTTGTCGACCACCATACGTAGCAAGGGCCGTGAGGCTCAAAAAATTATTCGTTGCCGCTGTCAGTTGTTCCCAGTAATCAAAAGCGATAAAAATCTTCTTGAAAGGCCTTTGCAACTTGTCGACGGCCTCACCTTTGCTTGGAATACTTTTAAACTGCTTCGTTGTATTGTACCGACGGTACTGTGAAGTGTTGTTTGTGGTTGTTGCTGGGCGGCTGATTAAATTCTTGGTTGTTCGTGTATAGATGAAAAAAATGGCCACTGTAATTCCACAAAAGAGAAGCAAGACTTTTTGAAAGAATTTATTCCATGTCATCTTCGAGCTCGAACACAAATAAAGTTCTGCATAAATAACTGTCGTGTGAGGACCTTGAATCTCATTAGTATACATTTTTAGCACGAAAACTAGTTAAATATTGTGAAGGTGAATTAATCAACATGACACGAGCGTGGGACGAAGAAAAATTCTGAGTCCCCGACAGGAATCGAACCCATGACCAATAGTTAAATATTGAAGTGATTGTGTTCTAATTTCGCGATCTTATAAACAGCGTGGATTTCTTGTCGACAACAAGTCACTTTAAAGTGTCGCAAGTTCATCGAACGGGTCGATGATTCGACTTAAATAGCTTGTTAAACGAAGAAGGTAAACAATCAACCCTAAAAATTAAATTTTGAGCCTTTTTAATTGTTGTTGTGGTTGTTCCGTATGCTAATTTTCGCGGCACAAGAAACCAGAGGACCATTGGCTGGTGAAAATAAGAGTTCTTTTGTTTAGTTGCTGAACATTAAGATAACAAAAAGTCTGCACGTGGGTCAACTCTATTGCATGCGCGTTACGGGAATACACAAGGATTCTATGCTTTGCAATCGACTTGAATACTTCTTGTTACATGCTTGAATCTCAATACGCGCACCTTGAATACCACGGCGTTTCGATTGCATATTCGAGGCTAGAATACATACGGCATTTTATACAGTGGTGTAACATGCAATACGCGCGGATATTTTGCCGGAGTCGGGGAGTGGGGANGGGGGTACTCTACAAAGGTCAGTTCTGATGGAGGTATCTTTCTGAGCCCCGAAGGAACGAGGGAAAATATGAGCGATAAGCACAATATCCGCACGTATCTTTTTTTAAACCATTGTATAAGGTATATATTATTCCACGGTTAGTCATTTTTGTAGACCTTTGTAGTATTTCGGCTTCTGGTTTTTGAAATGCATCCTGCACCATCCGAAAATCGTACCGGCCAATGCTTGCCAGTGCCTGAGAAGGACGAAAACAATACAAACTTAACTGCATGTTTATGTCTATTCACCCAGAAAATGTGTTCCCGTTAAATCACCGAAAAAGTTAAGTTCAAACAAGTCAAAGAGTACTCGTAAAAAACTTGTAAAACAGCTTCTCCAAAGCGATTTAGCGGTTTCACCGCTCCTAGCGAGAAAGAAAAAGAATAAAAACCTCTGCTTCAAAGTCAAATACATGTATTGACAATTCAACTGCTTTATAAGCTAATGAATCCTAATAAATTTTCTCTTAGCGAACTTAACAGTGACATCACCAATTGTTATTAATGCGCCAATCAGAGAATTATTGTCTGGTGAAACAAAGAGGTTTTTTTAACTTTTAAGTACATTTAAGTAAAAAAACCAATGCTTGTAAACAAATATCTTCCCCATACTTTAGTCACTGACAAGAAAACGATGATAATATATTTTGTAACTAATTTAATAACACAGAAATAGCATTAGGAGCGGGCATTTCGTTTATCGATACAGGATACAGCGAGAATTGCATTATCATAAAGAAATGACAGCCTTAAGTAACCAAAACATTTCAAAAAAGCAAAGTTGACACAGGTGCCTTCGAACGGCTCTTGGGTAACTTGGGTAACTATTCTTATAAGCCTAAAGAAAATATCCTTTCCCATGGTTGGGGACTTGGTGACCCCAGCCGAACGAGTCCACTAAAGAAAAAAAGGAAAAAAAAAGGTGAAGTCTGCATACGAACCAAGTGGCCCATCAATTCGAAGCTTGTCTCGGTTTCAGCTACATGAAAATATCATAAACTAGGATTATTTCTATTCCCCCCTGGATGGGATGTTAGTCCATTGCAGGGTTACCCCCAGCCTTAAATTCGCCGGTACCCATTTATCAGTACACCTGGGTGGAAAGAGGCACTGTGAGACCGAGTAA